AGTCAGCCCCCCAGCGGGTACCGCCTCCAGTGCTGCCCCCGGCTGCGGCTGGGACCCCGAAGGAGACCCTCACCTCAATGTTCTTGCAAGCCACGTTCTTCACCACGGCCGGGAAGAGGTCGGACGCGTTCTTCCCCCTGGCGATCATCTGGGGGCGCGAGAGAGGGGACTGAGACCCAGCCACACGTCTGCAGGCGTCCCAGGCCCCCTGTGCCCAGCACCCGATTTCCGCACCCCTGCAGCAGATCTGGGGGCAGAACAGGAGACCCTCACCTCAATGTTCTTGCAAGCCACGTTCTTCACCACGGCCGGGAAGAGGTCGGACGCGTTCTTCCCCCTGGCGATCATCTGGGGGCGCGAGAGAGGGGACTGAGACCCAGCCACACGTCTGCAGGCGTCCCAGGCCCCCTGTGCCCAGCACCCGATTTCCGCACCCCTGCAGCAGATCTGGGGGCAGAACTCAGGAGCTATGGGGCCAGACACACAGGGCCCCACCAGCTGGGCTAGAAAGCGCAACCCCGCCAGCGTGTGTGTGCACGTGTGTGTACAGCACCTAGCACACTGGGCCTTGATCCATAACTGGGGTCCCCAGATTCCATCACAACAGCAGCAGTAGGGGGGCTCACAGCCCCCCTTTAGGACACTACAGGGCTTGAGCACCCAGACCGCTGCTCGCGCTGCGCCCCTTTAGCAGAGAGCAATGGGTCACTGCCAACCAGCCAGCCGGCTGCAGCCCCACTCCCAATTGTGAGGGGAGGTTACTCTTGGGGCAGGAGGGCTCACAGAGCAGTGCAGTTTCGGGGAATGAGCTCAAGGAGCCCGTGCCTCAGTTTCCCCCAGTAAATGGGGATGCTGATTCTTATGGGCGAGGGCCATCAGCTGTCTAGCTATGAAGAACAATGTCAGGGTCCCAGCCGCTCAGCCAAGTCAGAGCGCGTAAGCGACCAGCAATCTGCCCTCCTGTCTCCCCCATGGGCCCGGGCACCACCCCGCAGCCACAATGAGACCGCAACTCACTGCTCCCAGGAGCCTAGACCAGGGCATGCCACAGGCAGAGCTGGGGGGACCCACAGGGACCCCGAGGTCTGTGGCCCCTGCCGTGCCAGGGAAAGGAGATGCACTCGCGTAACCCTGAGACCTGCACCCGCACGTGGCAGGAGAAATGCCCCAGGTCCCTGGCAATTTGCCCCGGGGGAATCCCTTGCTGACCCCACACTGGTGACCAGCGAGACCCTGAGCGTGAGAAGAACCAGGCAGCCAAGCCCTGGAAGAGACAGTGCTGGGTGCCAGCTCAGAGCCTGGCCTGCCCCATACGACCCCTCTGCAGCTGTGGCCGTCCCTCATGTATCAGAGGGAGGAGCCCAAAAACTCCCTTCTAAACCCAGAATGCAATGGGGGGAGAAGATCCCTTCCTGGCCCCTGAAGGTGGCTGGGTGAAACCCTGAAGCATGCGCTTGGGGAACATAAGGCATCAGGGAGGGAAACCGCACAGAGGGGAAACTGAGGCAGGGCCGGTTGCACATCAATGCAGATACTGCCGGGGCTGGGGCCACATCTCCCTCCTGCCCAGTGGGGGACACTCACAGCCACGATCCTCTTCATGGCCTCCAGCTTCAGAGAGTCCTTGTTACTGTCCAGCATCTCCTTCAGGTCGTCGTGTCTGCAAATCGCAAGGAGGGGCAGCTCTCAGCCCTGCGCCAACGCAGCGTGCGCCCCCCTCCAAGAGGGCAGGAACCCAACCCCCTCCCCACGCCCAGCCTCGCCCATGGTGAGGAGGCAGCGGATGAGGCTGACCCTCTAGCATACGGGTGCAACGGCTCTCCCCATGGGGGCCACCGAGCAGAGACCCAGTAACCACAGCCATGGCCACGCGAGGGCTGCACCACATGGGGGCTCAGGCTGCACCCTTTCTGCGGGCCTCTGGCTAAGCCGGAACCGCTCCTCCCAGTGTCAGAGCCAGAGCAGACACCCCTCTGCCTGGCCCTTCTCAGGAGCAGCTCTCAGCATTTGACAATCGCTGTGTCCCTGGCGAGGGGGGTACATCAGCCACCTATCCTGGATGGGGAAACTGAGGCAGAGGGGGCAGGACCGGAGCGGGCAACAGCAGGCAGGACTCCTGGGTGCTAGCGCAACGCTTGATGTCACACGGCGCTGTGTTCATGACCCCCCGGGAGTCCCGAGCATGAGGGATGCCGCCCTCCCCAGTGCGGGGCGCACGTACACATCAGGACAATCAGACACGTGGGCATGCACAATGCGATGGGGAAGAGCCAATATGATAGAGGCATATAAAATCATGAGTGGTGTGGAGAGGGCGGATAAAGAAAAGTTATTCATTAGTTCCCATAATAGAAGAACTAGAGGACACCAAATGAAATTAATGGGTAGCAGGTTTAAAACTAATAAAAGAAAGTTCTTCTTCACACAGCGTGTAGTCAACCTGTGGAACTCCTTGCCAGAGGAGGCTGTGAAGGCTAGGACTATAATAGAGTTTAAAGAGAAGCTAGATAATTTCATGGAGATTAGGTCCATAAAAGGCTATTAGCCAGGGGATAGAAATGGTGTTCCTGGCCTCTGTTTGTCAGAGGCTGGAGAGGGATGGCAGGAGACAAATCGCTTGATCATTGTCTTCAGTCCACCCTCTCTGGGGCACCTGGTGCTGGCCACTGTCGGCAGGCAGGAAACTGGGCTAGATGGACCTTTGGTCTGACTCAGTACGGCCATTCTTATGTTCTTATGTTCTCTTGGGAAGGGCGATCATGCCTCGCCCATGGGAGGAGTCCACCCCGCGCCCACCCCCACAGTGCCCCCTGTGCAGCTGTGGCTGCCTGTCACGTTTCAGAGGGAGGAGCCCAAAACACCCTTCTAAGCAATGGACAAGGGGGGCTGCTGGTTCTAGAGTATTTGGGCTTCCAAAGAGCTGAGATTGGAGCCCGCCGGGTTCCGCGCCCGCCCCGGGGTACCCAGGTTCCGTGCCCGCCCCGGGGTACCCATGTT